TACCTACGTGACTTTACCGAAAAAACCAAAGAGTATGAATCCTTGCAGTCACAAAAGCTTCAAATCTAGAATCGTCAGGCTACTATCAAAGGTTTGTTCATGAAGCCATCCAGATATATAAACACAGACATAACTTCAACCAAGAAGATGGATTCAAATTAAGCAATCATTGGAAGGATGTTATTAACCAGGTCAAATCTTAATTTCTTTATAGTTTGATTTCATATCCGCATCTCCAATTTCTTCAGCTCATTGCCCAGCTCCGGCATTGTTTCAAACTAGCAGCGTTGTCTGCTCAGTCGGACTATCGCCACTCCCCCCCATCCTCTCCATCTCTCCTCCCCCCCCTCTTACCTTATATAATCTCTTGTCATAAGCAGCTCTTTTGCCCACGACAGCAAGTTTGTTTCTTGCTGTGGCGTTCCCACCTGATGACGGACGCTTGTGTCGTAATTTATTATGTTTTTTATTTTATTTTATACCTATGTGACTTTAACGAAAGAACCAAAGAGTATACTTTCGTTTAATTGCTTTGTCTATGATTTAGTGCATTGAAAAATCGTTCACCCACATACCCACTCACCCACCGTCTTCAAATGTGTCATTTGGGCAATGTTAATTTTAATGGCCCATGGCACACATGAATCTTGTTTGTGGCATGGATGGACATGGTAGTTTATCTGAAATCAACATCTTGGCCCATGCTTGCTTACTGGCACCTGTTTGTTGATGAGTGTGTCATACATATAATTTGCTTCGTGGTCATCAGCATATCCTACGTTTGAATTAATTTGACTACAATTAGGTCATTAGCGAGATATATTGAAATATTGAATATAACGATAGCTTTTACATAATGTCCCTATAAACGTGTTTATTTACTGCCCTGAGTCCACAGCTAGATAAAAGTTCCCCATGCAGTCTCCATCATGGGGATTGTTTAGCCATACTTTATGCTCGAGAGTATGGGTTGGGAAAGGGCGAGTACTAGACTGGTTCAAATGTTAATCACTAATGTTAGCCGTGACAGAATTCAACTCAGGTCACCAGGCTCATAGTGTAGCCCATCACCAACTTGCACTCATTTGTGTGTTAATTATTACACTGTGTAACAATGTTTTTTGTTCCTGGGTCGTAAGTGTTATTTTCTAATGGCTTATGCCTCAAAAGTATAGAAAATGGCTATTCTTCCCCACAAACTTTGCTTTTGAACATAAAACTTACTACCCAGGAACATTTTTTTGTTACACTGTGTATTTAAAACAGTTATTTCGCAGTCCCTTGTCAATACTGTACGCGAATTTTTGAAAAACTTGTTGAACTCAAGAAAGTATTTGACTTTTATCGATTCTATACTTGAGTACGAAGACAATATTTTCAGGAGCTAAATGCCAATGTCTGCTAGGCACGAGAGGGCTTTGGGAGAGAGTTTGTGTAGTTTTACTGTTCCTCCTCCGTTGAAGGAGCGCAGACTGCAGTGGATTACTATGTAATCCATAGTTGTTGTTGCATGGCCACAGTCCCGTGGGCGTTTGTCTTTAATTTTCCACTTAGGAAGATGTATGCAATGGCCTGTTGATGATCTGATGTGGTTGATGGTAACACGAATGTCTTCGAAGAATGCCATAGCCAAAATGTATGATGCGTCCACTACAGCATATAGCCTAGTGGCCTAGTTTAAACGTTGTGAACACTAATTTTTACAAATATGGTTGACATCGTTACCAACAGTGATTTTAAAGGAAGATTACACAAAACTGCGTCAAACGATTAGGAAAATATTGAGTATTCAGAAGACGGGAAAAAAAAAACATTGAATATATCATTGCAAGTAGTTGCATCATTAAAAAAGAGGTTGAAGATTGCGAATTCACAAATGATGACCCTTTGCAAGAAAGGTTGGACCGTTAATCACTATAAATAGAGTCATGAAAATCATTACATATCTAAAAATAAAAAGTGCACATCTCTGCATTGCTCTTCACCTAATGTACTGAAATCTGTGACCTCTCCTTGCTCGTTTTAATGGATTCGTTCATACAACTATATATGTATACCCAGGGGCATATTGAGGTATGGACCCTGGTGCAAGGAATTAAATTGGGGGGGGGGGGGGGGCGGGGGGGGGGGTGCTGTCCAATTTCCATCCCCTTTGTAGCATAGCATCAGGGCCGGCTGGTCCATTTGCACCGATGCAGTTGTGTTTCCTACGCACTCGATAGCTCCGCTATTGTAAGACAGACTTGTATCTCCACGTGCTACTCGTGATGCACCTGTCCACCCATCTGGCGGTTGAAATTCTAAGAGTTGACGTGAAAAAGGTCACGGGTTTAGTCACGATAATCAAAACGGATTTGCGCTCTTGTGCAAATGTTATGAAGATCCATCAATAATGGCTCGAAGTGATGTTTAACTATGAATATTTTATTTCCACAAAATAATTACACCAACAATATGGCATCATGCATAATTTAGCATCTCTCTGATTTCATGCTTCGTGAGTTGCTTTATTGTTCACATTGACTTTGTACTTAACTATTAACTTGGGCGACGCCTTGAATGCAAATCGTTTTATGAGAAACAATAATTCGAGCTGCATGGTTAAAGATGAGTAATGATTTATAAACCTTCATTGCCCAGTCAAGCAGTGACGCAGACGTTTGTGCACTGCACTGTGGAACCCATCCATGGCAATTCAATTCCTGACCACAATAAATTTATTTTATTAAATGACCAGGTAAGGCCCACTGAGCGAAATAGCTCTTTTTCAAAAGCGACCTGGCCACAAACGATAGCTCAACGAAGTGGCTTATCATGTGGCAATATATAGTATCAAAATAGTCTAAATGTATGTTGATTCTAAATGTGGAGGGAAAAACCGGAGGACCCGAGGAAAAATCCTTACCACGGGGAGAACATACAAACTCCAAATATACAGGCGTCAGGGTCGGGTTGGAACCCACGACCTCCTGTATACCTGGCGACGTAATTAACACTTCGCCACCCCACCCCAAACTTCTTCAACCTGCAGTGGCCATCATGGTGAAGTATGGTTATACAACCCCATATCCAACACGGTGTGGGGTGGCCTTCATACAGAAAAGGGATGTCAATTATTTAACAACCAGCAGAGACATGAGGTGTACAGTTGATTAGAGGGATAAAGACATGATACTTGTTCTTTGATATGGATATAGGTAACTTGCTTTACATTCTAGACATGTGCATTGTACCAGTTATGTCAGTATCTCTGCATACTACTTCAACTTGATGGAGCTTGTGTTCAAGATTACTGAAAGTACAACGATATTCATGCATCAATGTATGCTTGAGAACACTGAATTACAATACAGTATTGTTACAACACAGCAAATGTAATTAGGTAAAAAAACATAATTTGCAGTACGTTTTTTTTAATAGCTGTCCAAAATACTGAAGGCAAGAAAGCATGCATTAGAGTCCTTGGCCAAATCACATTTACTTGTGGGGGGTCGCTGTGATGGCTAATATACACCAAAATCATATATATTTTTTTCACATTGTCACCCCTCTTGTATGTAATGGTATGACCCCTCGAATTAAATTCCCCCATGCATGCACGGTGTAATGCCAGTATCACGGAAACCACACACTTCGTCAACAAGCACATCACTCGAATTATGTGTAGCAAGTAATGGGAATGTTAAAGTATACATATTACTATTTTGTGAGACTGCATGTGACAATGGTGTATACATTTCGAACAAAAAAAAACTGAACTCGTTCATCACTGACACTGCCGCAAAAGGAAACGTTTTTAAAAGGTGACATTTCGAGCAATGTCTCTTCTTCACCGCGCACAGAGAGGCCAGATAGTTAGAAACGGTGGCTAGTAGATGTTAACTACCTCGCCTGGTATACAGGGGGTCTTGGGTTCAATCCCGACACTGACGCCTGCTGCTCTATATTTGGAGTTTGCGTGTCTCTCTCTCATCATCATCACGGTGGCTAGGATATGTTAACTACCTCGACTGGTATACAGAAGGTCGTGGGGTCGATCCCGACCCTGACGCCTGCTGCTCTATATTTGGAGTTTGCGTGTCTCTCTCATCATTATCACGGTGGCTAGGAGATGTTAACTACTTCGACTGGTATACAGGAGGTCGTGGGGTCGATCCTGCTGTATATTTTGAGTTTGCATGTCTCTCTCTCTCATCATCATCACGGTGGCTAGGAGATGTTAACTACCTCACCTGGTATACAGAAGGTCGTGGGGTCGATCCCGACCCTGACGCCTGCTGCTGTATATTTGGAGTTTGCGTGTCTCTCATCATCATCACGGTGGCAAGGAGATGTTAACTACCTCGCCTGGTATACAGGAGGTCGTGGGGTCGATCCCGACCCTGACGCCTGCTGCTCTATATTTGGAGTTTGCGTGTCTCTCTCTCTCATCATCATCACGGTGGCTAGGAGATGTTAACTACCTTGCGTAGTACACAGAAGGTCGTGGGGTCGATCCCGACCCTGACGCCTGCTGCTGTATATTTGGAGTTTGCATGCTCTGCCTCTGGTTGCGTCGATTTGTCTCCGGGCCCTCCAGTTTTCCCCTCCAAAGACGTCCGTTTAGAGACATGCGTTTAGAAGATTTGGTTGCTATGCACTTCTGCAGAAGCCACTTCGTTGAGGGGCCGTCCATAAATGACGTCACGCGATTTTGGACGATTTTTGAGCCCCCCCCTCGTCACACGGCGTCACAAAAAGTCAGACCCCCCCTCAAATATGACGTCACAAAGCTCTGCCCCCCCCCCTAAAATAAAACATGCTTCAAATCGCTTTAAACTATTGTCATTGTAGTGCGTATTTAATGTGGCGCTGCACTCTGATGTTGTAGGAGAAAACATTTATTGAAAAGTATATTGGATTAAGTACAACGTGTTGTCTATATTTATTTAAAGTTGCGCATTTTGATGTGACGTCACATTTCTCCCCCCTCCCCCCTCCTCATCACTTCGCGTCACAAATGTCTGACCCTCCCCCCCCCCAGGTGCGTGACGTCATTTATGGACGGCCCCTGAGCTATAGTCTTTGCCAGTTGGGACAAAACGATTACTTGATGAAATGTGTAGGATCTGTTTCTGTTGCAAGAAAGCCTCTCCTACACCAAAACCTCTAAACCGTGTCAAATCTACAACCAGGTATTACATTTGCTCGTGTTCGATTTCACCTGGATTTATCAGGGCATTAATCTATAGCGTTACTTCCTATATCTTCGTGTTTGTGGGCACTAAAAAAAACTCGGCATTACGAGTGTACAAATTACGAGACTGGAAAGGAGAATGAATGAGTGATTTTGTCAAGTTAGACCAGAATCAATGACTTAATCAATTATGTGCTAGATCGTGTGTGTGTGTGTGCATGTACGGCCCATTGTCAGTCCACTATTGGATGAAGGCCTCCCCATGCTGTGTTGGTCATGGGGGTTATTTGGCTGTACTTCACCACGCCGGTCAGTGTGGGTTGTTGATGGAGTGAAGCAGAGATGTGAAGGTGTAGATGTACAGAGCAGCAATGTGTTTTTTTCCTGCACTGCTCTTTGCTACCGTAAACCAAACAATTTATTTATTTTACCAGGCAAGGCCCACTGAGCTATATAGCTCTTTTTCAGAAGCGACCTGTCCACAAGTGATAACTAAACGAAGTGGCTTATCATGTAGGAAATTAATAGCAGTGTGATACTCGAAACGCACGTTTCTAACTGTGGAGGGAAAAAACAGACCCGGGGAAACATCCACGCGACCACAACGAGTACTCCATATATACAGCAGGCTCCAGGGTTGAGATGGAACCCATGCACTCCTGTATACCAGGCGAGGCAGTTAACATTTCGCCACCACGTAGCATCGCAGCCTGCCAGTAACACATGTTTATGAATGGTTGTCACCCATGTGAGCACTATGCAGACTCAAGCCCGCTTAAGAGGTTGAGAGTTCTAAAGAGATCGAGAGCATTCAGGATAACTTGGTATTGGGTGTACTGAATGAAACATGGGGACACTATTGAGTGTAACCAGAACCCTGAAATAACAAAACTAGAATGCATAAAGATACACATACCAATTCAGCATAGCATCGTGATCCACCCTGACAAGTTAACCCTCCAGACCAAGTACAGTGCCTCTGTGTGGTGTCAATGTCATTTTCGATACACGTTCACAAATCCAGCCATTTCACATGTGGCAATGTAATCTTAATCTCACGTGCATTCGCTTAACTCAAACGTGTGGTCGGGAATGTTCCCATAGCTAAAACAGTTTGCGCTTGGTCCATTTTCCTATTTGTGCAGTGTAGCTGTCAGTTTCTACAGACGTTCACATCGGTCGCTCATAACTCAGTGCCTTTGGGAGTCGCATGTGTGATGTTGTACTTTACTGCCTTTGTATTTCATCGAAGCACCCAGAGATAGAGATAAGAGAGATGGGCAGATAGAGCGCATACAATTGTAGATTTATGAGATGCAAGATATAACGTTGTTAAGTACAGATAGCCTGCAACTCAAAAAGTGTATAAGCATTAGCCTGGGGCTTGAGGCTAACGAGCCGCCCAAAAATATGACATTGGCCCAGGGCAGTCATATGAGGGCAGGTCAGATTTCATGGAGGGTACAACCACATTCAGAAGCAGTGACCGACACTACCGCGTCTGGATGTGGAGGCAGCCAAAGGTGCAATGCCTTGTTTTTCAAAAATGTGTCTCAGGTGGCCCAATAAAACGTTAGATTCTCCACAGCTGCCACTGCACCATGAGTATATCGGTTAACTCATAGTTTTTTATTGTATTTCAGTCAATTATGGCAATCCGTGGATGAAAAACATCAAGAATCACGTCTATGCTACCCACCAAAGCACCACGATGACGAGACGGAATGAACCAAGTCTGAATGAAGAGGAAAAACTCAAATAATGTAGTGACGTAATTACAGATGGCATTTTCGTCGTTTCTCTCTCTTCGGGAGCGAGTGAAATACTCTGCGCTTCACTGATCGAGTCACCTTATAATATTGGGGGGGGGGGGGGGGGTGCCCACCCCTCACACCAATAATAACCAAGGGTGAATTACATTGACCACTTTAATCCACAGACTGGGATTTGACTAAACTTTCCGCAGAATGTCCATCGACTCGACTGACTGAAATTAAATAAAAGCGCGCAGACTGCATTAACACTGGTCTCGGGTGGCTCAACACTTGTCATTCCCATGTGGCTCCCACTGCACTAGATGCTGTGACTTTTGGCACGAAGAGAGATGGGCAATCTGACCATCGACAGCCTGCTGCTGTAATACAATGCAGTTTTAGCCCGGGGCTTGGGACCAATGGCTGGACCATAAATATTACATTTTGTAGGGCAGGTATGGGGGCAGGCCCAATTTTCACGAGGGTACAACCCCATTCATAAGCAGTAAATGAAAAACAGTGCGTAAATTACCAAGTAGCATGCTCTGGTTCAATTGGGGGGGGAGGGGGGAGTGGGGGGAGCATGCATAAGTTAGGGGTGGGGGGTGACAGCGCCAGGATTAAACAAACCTTAAACGTGAAACGCCAGACAGGACAATTAACGATACGATCTGCTTTTGTCTATCATGCACTCTGCTCAGGCTGTCAGTCCCGACGTACGTGGAAAGATAGCCACTGGTGATGAATATTGCACCGATGTTTCTGACTCAACTGTAAAAAAAAAAAATTCGCATTTAGAATGAGGGCTGAGGCTGAGCCTTCAGAACGGGGGTGGGGGGGGGGGCTCAGCCCCCCATAATCACTACGGGAGATCACTAAGGTATGGCGATGGGCGTGCTGATGGCTTCGTGAGTCACCACCTGTGCGGTATGTGTGATGAGCATTGGGACCCACGCCTCTCTGGGTGCCCTGTGCTGAGTGTGCTTGTTGCCACTCGAAACTCCGTTCTCCTGTGATCTGTCGAGCACCGATGGTGACCTTCCGACACAGCCAGAGGCTTCGCCGGGGGTTTCGGCTGCGTCTGTAGCAGAAATTAAGGTTAATTAATTGCACAAGATAGAATGAAAACAAAAACATTGAGGGCTGTTGTAACATATAGCATTGACACGTGGCCTTGTACGACCCATTCGGTAAACACGTGCTTGGTGGTGGTGCTGCCGTTGTAAGCGGTGCACAAACGAGCAAGGGTGAAGTCTCCAACTCTTATCCACTCTACCTCCCTCTGGCCTCTGGCATTGTTTTCTCTTGGCCTACTTATTTAGGTCATGGCTCATCTTCAAAAAAGTGTGGAGAAATCTCTTGCTCGAATGAGCTCATCTTATTTACAGCCCTGAGGCAGTGGTGGAAATTCCACATTCCTGTTTTTTGGGTGGTGGGGCAGTTTTTTTCCGCAGAAAGACCACTGTTGATTTATCCACAGAGTGGTACTCACTTTATCGACACCGGAGGGATGATGGGCTGAGTCAACCCCCAACCAGGGTTTAGAGCTGCTCGCTCTCACGCTGAGCCACCTTGGTTGATGAATAATTTATTAATCGTGATATCCCTAATACCTTTGAATGATATGAAATAATTTGTCATAGTTCTGTCCACGTTTTATGTAAATGTTTGGCCATACGGTAAGGTCCTTAATGAAGAAAAATAGTTGTATTTAGTATTTAATACATTATTTGGTGATATTGCTTTGTCAGTGGTGTACAATCACAAATAAAACAAAAAACTCAACACATTTGATAATAACACTGTCGTAAAAAAACTGATTAAAATTGGGTGACGTTTTGGGCAATAACCCTTCTTCACAACACATAGAAACCAGAGAGGTGGAGTGGCTTCATTTAAGATAGGTACTACAATTGTGACAACTGAAAGCCATCTAATTACGTTGACCACTGGTTGAAATTTCACTGATCCACTTGAAAGGTTTCCTATTGATTTTTAAGGTCAGGTGAAGTTCATCGGATAGCATTCGGCTTCATTATTTTTAATTGCATTAGTCAAAATTGCGTTTTTATATGCAGCTGATGTTAGCATGATACACGGATAGAGTGATGGTCAAAGTTGATCTCTTTGGAAATGTAATCCTCAGGATTAGAGTGATAATTTGCATGTGCGTGCACACGTGCTCAATCATCGGCGACTGATTGAAATAATCAACTTGCGACACTTCAACATCTTTATAATAAATGGCTGATTAGATTGACACAGACGCCACGTATGAGTGCAACTGGCTGGCTCAGTATCACTCAGTAGAGAGGAGCTCCGTACCCCCCCCCCCCAAAAAAAAAAAAACTATGTTATGGAGAGATTCTGTTGCCAATGGGGTTGGGATGCTAGTGCTTTTGTTTCCATGACCCTTTGGGTCATGGGCCAATGTGAGAAAATGGGCATTCACCGTAGGCGGGGCTGGTGGCAGAGTGGACGTGGCTATGTAAAAGTAAGCAGAGCTGGTGGAGGGAAGAGCTGCCAGCTCACCATGTGTCGTTACGACTGGACTATACTTTGCACTCCGATCGTGCTTTTGTATTGTTTGTTCTTGTGGACATTTGTGAAAGAGAGCTTTATAGCTCATCGGATTCCTCCGTTCTGATTCCTTGTTGAGGCTCCCAGATAATTGGTAGCTTTATGTGCCCCCCCCCACCCCTTCCCTCACACTCCCTCCTCCCCTCCAAACAGGGATGTAGTTATATTCTTGGTTCTTTCGGTAGTCACGTTGAAGGGAAACAATAAAATATGTTGTTTTTATATTTTTATTATTTTATTGTTTCCCTTCAACGTGACTTTACCGAAAGAACCAAGAATATGAATCACTGCAGTCACGAAAGCTTTAAATCAAAATTTAGGGATGTAGTTGCTACGGCTGTCCAGATACCGCCCAACATGTTTTTTTAGATATGGGCTTAGAGACTCCCGCAATATTTTGTATTGGTCAGTACACACACACATTGACACGGTTAGCACACATAGACTATCAAAACCAGTCAGCACAGACACACGCGCCGCACACGGCAGGAGGACACCCCCAACTTACAAAGTGTGGATCTGACGCTGTTCCCATGCATTGATCAGACCTCCTGTGCTCTCCAGTCACCTCTATGGGCGGGATTATTTGCATGCGTCGTTTCTTAATTACTGTCAGAACAATTCAGAACACTGATCCGAGAATTCCTGAGCAGGCCACATCTGCCACGGTGGCGAGATGTTAACTACGTCGCCTGGTGCACTGGTCGTGGGTTCGATCCCAACCCTGACGCCTGTATATTTGGAGTTTGCATGTTCTCCTCGTGGTTGCATGCATTTTTCTCCCGTGTTCTCCGGTTTTTCCCTCTACATTTAGAAACATGCGTTTAGAGAATTTGGCTGCTATCAATTTACACATGATGATAAGCCACTTCGTTGAGCTATAATTTCTTGCTAGCTTGCTTCTGAAAAACAGCTGTATAGCTCAATGGGCCTTACCTGGTAAAATTAAAAAAAATTATAGTTTAGTTTATCGCTTAGTCTCACCGATGTTGTCCCGATCATGCTGCGGTAGTGTGTGCGCACAGTGGTGAGCAAATAGAGCGTACAATAACATATAATTATTATGGAAAGGCGTACCTCGGTACTCTAATTGTCGTGCCTTATGCTGATAACCCCTGTTCCAAGCCAGCCTGGGAACATTGGCGAAAATACAGTGAGCAACTGAGGCCTGCGTACGTCCATCTGCTCACCGACGAGGTTCACGTTGACAAGGAGGCCTGCGTCATGCTTGATGCACTTTGCTTTGTGGCAAAAGAAAATGAAGCAGAAGAGTGTAATGCAGACGACGAATGTGATGAACACGGCAGCTGCCCCCACCAGCACCACCACGGCGCCCAGCCTGTCATGGCCACGATCGTAGCCCAGAGTCCAGGGGGTGGGTGCAGGACACACAAAAGCAGAAGACGCACATACTGTAGAGCTATGCATGTGCACGCGCTCACGCGCATGGCCCCACCACACTCGTACAACAATCATTGGCAGCCGTGATCAATCGACCGCCGGATGAAGAGCCCTCCTCAGTCGTCGCCATCTCGTACAAATCTGCGAAGTAGCAATCCACCCTGGCACCTGCACAGAGCTGATTTGATTGCTCCATCTCCTAAGTGGACAACGTCTTGTAAGCGTTCCCTCCCTTGGCTGCCACTCTGGGGCCGTCCATAAATGACGTCACGCGATTTTGGACGATTTGAGACCCCCCCTCCCCTTCGTTACACGGCGTCACAAAGAGTCAGACCTCCCCCCTCAAATATGACGTCACAAAGCTCTGCCCCCCCTCCCCCCCCCCCAAAAATATATAAACATGCTTCAAATCGCTTTAAACTATCGTTATTGTAGTGCGTATTTATTGTGGCGCTGCACTCTGATGTTGTAGGAGAAAACATGTATTAAAAAAGTCTATTTAATTAAGTAGAACATGTCTATATTTATTTAAAGTTGCGCATTTTGATGTGACGTCACATTTCTCAAACCCTCACCCCCCCCTCTCGTCACACATCGTCACAAATGTCTGACCCCACCACCCCCCTCCCTAGGTGCGTGACGTCATGTATGGACTATTAAGAATCAGAATACTTATACTGGAGGAATCCGATGCGCTATGAAGCTCTTCATAGATGTTCAGTAGCTTCTTGACCATCGACCCTCATATCTTCTCACTGAGACATGTCATGCACAAGGCTGCTTGCACGTGTTTCCCCTCTCTTTACCTCTCAATGTAAACTTCAACCATGCACCTCTGCAGCCTTCTTTGCTCAACTTTTCAGTTTTCATTCCATATTTGTGCACACACGTGCAACTCAACCAAATTGCTTGCGGGTTGAAACTGCAATCACTGAGGCTACTTGATCCTTTACAAAAAAAAATCTCATTGTCTTATCCATATGGTAAAACTATATATATATTTTTTTATAATTAGTCATTACTTATCCAATGGCTCTGTGGATAGTTACAGACGTATTCATCAAAGAGCACTGGCATAGCAAGGACCACCACTAATATAAAAATGTTTTATGATAATTTGACTTTGCTGCACAATACCGCCGATTATTGAAAAATCGCACGCAGGTGCACCACGAAAGTCAGTCAATTCCTTCTGAAATGAGCAGCCCAAAGTCCCAATCCCCCAGCCCCAAGCCCCCAGCCTCAAGTCCCCAGCCCAAATCTCAAGCCCCAAGCCACAAGCCTCAAGCCCCCAGCCCCAAACCCCAAACCTCAAGCCCCAAAACTCAAGCCCCAAGTCCCAAACCTCAAGCCCAAGCCTCAAGCCCAATATCCCCAGCTGCAAGCCACAAACTCCAAGCCCCAAACCCCAAGCCCCAACCTCCAAGCCACAAAAATAAGCCCCAAGCCTCAAGACCAAAGCCTTATGCCACAAACCCTAAGTCTCAAGCCCCAAGCCTCAAACTCCAAGCCCCAAGCCTCAAGCCCCAAGCCTCAAGCCCTAAGCCACAAACCTCCAGCATAAAGCCTCAAGCCACAAGCCTCAAGCCCCATATCCCAGCCCCAAGCCCCAAACCTCCAGCATCAAGTCACAAGCCCCATCAACAAACCTCAAGCTCCAAGCTTCAAGCCCAAAACCCCCAGCTGCAAGTCATAAACTCCAAGCCCCAAACCCCAAGCCCCAAGCCACAAGCCATTAGCCCCAAACTCCAAGGCCAAAGCCTTAAGCCACAAATCCTAAGCCCCAAGCCCCAAGCCCCAGGTCCCCAGCCCAAACCTTAAGCCCAAACCCACCAATCACAACCCTCAAGCCCCATGCCTCAAGCCCCAAGCCCCAAACTTCAAGCCTCAATACCAGTTGAGGGAGATAACATCGCCACCACGGCACCCCATATCCCCTCACTATATTATTATTATTACTACGCATCGCACCTCCCACAGCTTGGGAAAGTGTTGTTCATAAATATACAGCATCCACTATAAGATCACCCTCACCGTATTTTAAAGATACTCTATCGTCTCCCTCTGCTTTCCTCACTGCACTTCTCTGAAAACTGAGACTTTCTGTCGAGGACTCCAGTCGACCTTCATTCAATGGCCAATCGGTCTTACCCGTCTGCTGCTCTTGTGATCTAAAATTTTCTTCCCCCAGTCATCTGAGCTGTCAACTCCATGATTGCCATGCCCCACTGTTTTGTGCAGCATCTTAGAGGTGCGCTTACGTTTAGACACTATTTTATTCTGTGTTGTATTGAAGGTGTGAATGCCAGTATTGGACGCAGCTTACCTAACTATGTATCTCCGGTATGGATATTGGTCGACTGTGCTGCAGCACATAGGTTGCTCGTTTTAGGTGATGTGCATGCACTCATGAGGTGCCCAGACCAGGTATGCAGCGTGGCTCTCGGTGGTTTTCTGTTACATTACAGAGATAATCTGTGAAGTTTGCTATTGTTATTTATAGGAGTAGTTCCATATACTATAATTACTGCATTTTAAATCTAAGCAACTACTGGATCTAAACTCAGTACTGAGCCTACTTCTGTCTGTGTGCTACTGTATTCAAAGATTCTGTCATCATAATAATCAGTATTTAGCACCTTTGTTATAAGGAAAATGCTAGGAATGTTGTATGCTTTTATGCTGGAGGTGTTCGGACCCTCATGACACCCACAGTGGCTGTACCCTCTGGCACAGCCCAGGGTGGATAGCCAATTTCCTTGATCTTCCATCCAGGATGTATGTTCAAGAAGTTGTATGTTCAACTTCAAGAAGTTGAACATACATCCTTTAAGATTGCAGTGCAATTGGCAGGTCACTCAAACACGCCAAATAAAAATACGTGGTGTTATATTCACGACTGTAAATACAGGAGAAAATATGGCAAAAACAAATTATTATCTGACTGGCAGTCATTTACAACAATCCAGCCCTATTTCCTACTCTCAATTGACAATGAGGAACATTGAATAATGCATTACATGAACTCAAACATGTCCTACAGCGGTCACGTGTTTCAAAGAGAGTTAAAAGCTACAATTTCTCGTGACACATATTTGACTGCTAACCGCTGCCAGGAATTACGTTTTCATATATAGAGAAGAAAACAATTTGCTTCGGTTTTATTTTAAATATTCCATTAATGCAGCAAATTCATTATGCAGCCCTTGAAAACCGAGCAGTGCTGGAGTTTCAATTATTGTGTCAAATAAGCGAAATATAAAATGTATGTGTTTTTATTTACGTGAAATTTACAAAATAATACCTTAATCCTTTGTAAATTTTTGGTGAATGTTACTGCTGACCCAGAATGAGCCAAATGTTTGTGTATTTAGGGTCACTTTAAAATTGGTCACTTTAAATTCAACAAATTATTTGGTGATGTTGCTGCCTTGGCTGTGGTGCACAAGCACAACCCACTCTTCCTCCTCGGTTATTTATTTTAAAAAATATATATTGATGTTGGTCGGAACATCCTCCGTGATGTAATTGCAGTTTTATCCATCTGCTATTCCCTTTATGTGACTACTATACGTGTACGTTTTACTTTAAAGAGTCATGCAACGTATTAAAACAATGACGTGAAAGTAAATTGCAGCCGTTTGTCAATCGCTTCCTGAATGACAGTCGACCCACGCCGTGGAGGTGTTTCGACCATGCCACACCATGCGAGTTGGAGCACGTTGTTGAAAGGAGAGGGATGGGGAGCACAATCTCGTTCAGATGTCACTCGCCACTGATGTGAGCCGTGGGCGGGAATCGAACTCAAGTTTACGACTGCTTCTCCCGTATCCCAATCCATCCCTCGAACGAATGCTTAACTTACCACGTGATAATTTATGAAGCTCGGCCTCCTGCTAACATATTAAACCCTGCCCAAATTGCTCTGAAAAATACACGTAGATTACAGCCAATGTACCTCGTCTATTTTGGCTTTTTTTTGTCATTGCGTACCTATACAGCATGCAGTGATGCGGTGGCACAGTGGTTAGCGTGCTGCGCTATGAACCTGGCGACCCTATATCGATTCCCTGCCACGGATAACGTCAGTGGCAAGTGATAATTACAAACGGGTCCTGCCCTCCCTCCCTCCCTTTACCAGTCCTCATTAACCAGCGTGGTAAAGTATAGTCAATCAAGTAAGTCAAACCCCTATGACCGGCATTGCGTGGGGAAGTTGATGGGAGGTGGGGCTGTCCTTCATTAATAAACTATGTAAGAATGGCTGGAATTATTGTATTGTATTGTGAAAGAAGCTTTACAAGCAATGCTTCATTTTAGGCTGTCGATCTCTGCGGGGGGTGAGGGTGACACATTTCAAGAGCGATTAAGCCCTATTTGCAATCGAGGATTTACAAATGTAACAAGTTGGCTATGCAGTATCTTATCTTAACGAAACTCATATAGCGCCTTAACCAAGACGCTTTTACAAAGAATTAAGAACGGTGTGAATGTAATGGTGGAGATGAGGCGCATGGAATAGATGAGAGGAAACAATGGTGGAAAATCTGTGGCGATGCGTGAATTCGGAAAAAGCGAAATTGATGACAGTAAATGATGACGAATGAATGAATGGGGATTGAGTGATAGCCATACAATGAGAACACGAAGAGGAAGCAGTAACGGTGGTGGTTATGAGGGGGATATTAAGGGGGTCGTCGGATGAGTGAGGAGCGGAAACTCGCGAGCGAAAGTGTCTGTTTAACATGCACGTACCATTTGGTACGTGAATATTAAAAAAAGATGTTGTCTTCCATCGCACAGCACGTGCGTGTGTGTCCCCCCCCCCCCCCCCAGAGGACCTCACTGCATATCGATTCGCATATATCACGGTCGAGCTGATTTAAGGAAAAACAATAACGCACATATTTCTCGCTCAGAAATAAATGTAAAGCTGTTCATTTAATGCTTTCGTCGTAGGGATAGTTTCGACCATACTTCACCACGTTTGGTCAGATGCTCAAGGGGTATGTGCAGGTGGCGGTTCAGATATTACTTGCCACTGATGTTAGCCGATGCCAGGGAATGGAAATAAAAGACGTTACAAAGTATTCCTTAAGAATAGTTCGGATCATCATCTAGCCTCATTCAGTACAGATGTTGCATCGCCTATATATTTCTTATAAATACCAGCCGGCTGAAACATCGACTAAATTAGACCGCTGCGTCTAATGAAACGAAGCCTCCAGATTAAACCGCTCAGAATGAACCCGTTCTCCACAGTTCTCGGAAGCTAAACAGCGCTGAGCCTGGATAGTGTTAGAATGGGCAATTATATTTATCATTCATGAACAACAAAAAATCAGGTGTTATCGGCTGCTGCGGAGCTACATAGCACAAGTCAGTGCAGACAAATTAAATGTTGTACTCTACAATTCTACAAGCACGTGTACTACGCTCTCCCGCCTTCACCAACTCACACTAAGCAACGTGGTGAAGTATGGTGAAATAACCACCACGACCCACGCGGCGTGAGGAGGCCTTCATCCAGCGTTTAATCGAAATGCCCGAACGCAAAACGAACCACCAACACTCTCTCGCCGTATGGCTTTACCCCGGATTTGTCACGGGGACGATGGCTCGTGGTGAAGAATAATGACGGGAAGGCAGCCGAGGTGATGGAACGCATCCGAGAGGGCAATAGACGGAGCGGTGAAATCATCTCGCACGCAAGGTACCCACTAGGGGCCAGGTTGCGGCGTCTCGCAGGCCCCGCGAGACATTCAGCAAACGGCTTGGAGAGGCGTTTCATCCAGCAGTGGATCGAGCGTGGCTGATGATGATAATGATGCTGCATGCTTCGCGGAAAAGACTCTCGCGACTCACCCAAGCCTCCACATGTAGTCGTAGTTCTCATCGAAGTAGCGACCGATTTCCGAGCAGCAGTACTTGGCATCGCTGAAGCCGCAGCAGAAGAGGTCGTCGGCTGAGTCCCCTGGCCGAGGGCAAACGAAGCCGGGCATCGCCGGGTTCCCGCTGCTCGCGGTCCCATTGTAGGGAGCGCAGTAGCGCTCGGCGCTCAGGAAGAACGCGCGAATGTTGCAATCCATGGATGCGCGCTGCGTCGCAAACCGGTGTCCCTCTCCCGCGTGAGCGTGACTTAGTAGCGTGAGGCACGTGTGTGTGTGTACGTGTAAGCGCGCGCGCGTGTGTGTGTAACTTAGTGTGAGCGTGTGCGTGTAACTTAGTGTAAGCGTGTAACTTAGTGTGAGCGTGTGTGTGTGTACGTGTAAGCGCGCGTGTGTGTAACTTAGTGTGAGCGGGTGCATGTACCTTCGTGTGAGCGCGTGTGTGTGTGACTTAATGTGTGTGTGTATGTGTGCCTTAGTGTGAGCGTGCGTGTGTGATTCAGTGTGAGTGTGCGATTCTCACCGCGAGAGTAACTGCGTGTGAACGCTAGTGCGCGCAGCGTGTGCGAGTGACTGAGTGTGACCGTGTGTGTGTGTCACTTGGTATAAGCATGACACTTAGCATGATTAAGCGTCTGCGTGACTTAAGTGTGAGAGAGTGTGACCTCGTAAAAAGGGTGCGTGGTTGACTGTGAGTGAGCGTGTTTTGTGTTTGTGTGCGCGCTGGTGTAAGCGGTAGTGTAGCATTCAGCGCGCTGTGGAACGAACCCGTGCGACCCGGGTTCGATTGCCGCTCACGGTCAACACCAGTGGTGATTATCTGAACCGGTCCTGGGCCTCCCCTAGGTCGACTCAGCCTCAAATGAGTATCTGGTGCGGTGTGTAAACAGCGCCACTAGGGAGACAAAGGCGGCCGGGCGCGGTGCCGGCCACCCACCCACTCACGTGCCGTGCCGGTCTTCATAGGTGCTCGCTCTCAGCACTTGCTCTCTCAGACCGTTGAAGGCTATACGGGAGAATCATTGCCTTTGTGGCGAATGTGAGTGAGCGTCGCTTGACTGTGGCTCACTGTGAGTAAGTGAACAGTGCGGAAACTCGGTCACGAGCTGACCGACCGCGTGGGCTCGGTGCGGAGTCAAAGAACGAATCGCTTAGTGGCTGACCTCCTTTGCGGACGCTTTGTCATCGTACCGAACGCGCACGCCAGGAGCTTGCGCAAACGCACGCACGGCTCCTTGTGAATTCAATGTCCCTAGGTTGCTTCTGCTCCCGCACCAGTGGGGGTAAACCGTGGATAGGGTGGTTAGAAGTTGTCCTTTGCCTCGCATGCTGTGCAGGAGGGTTTCGTGGGTTCGATCGGGATCCCCACGATGCCTTTTGTATATTTGGAGTCACCCGTGCTCGCTGTCTCCCTGTTGTGATCGCGTGGATTTTTCTCCGGGTCGTTTGGCTTTTACATCCACATTTAGAAACAACATCACGCGTTTAGATTATTTGGCTGCAACTATAGATTCCCACGTGTGATTATGAGATGAGCCACTTCGATGAGCTAGCATGTGTGGCCAGCCCACTTCTGAAAAATACCTCCATAGTTCAGTGAGCTTTATCTGTAGAATAAAACATGGTTTAGGATACGGTCCTTTAATGAAATCGTTTCTCGAGTCTATGCTTACTTTGGGAGAGGCTTTTGTCGGCCCCCTCCATCATTGCCGCATTTGCTTCCCACGCCACCTACCGCCTTGTACCTATCTGTAAATGGTTGTGGAGTTTGTACATTATTCAGACGTCCGTGCCTATTGGCGAATCGACGCGGAATTGGTGCGGCGTACCTTAGAAAGGTAGATGTCATCGTTAGTTGAGTGAATGGCGTTTTAAGATAACGCGCGACGCGTGGCGTCGGTCCGTTATGTTTTTTTTATTTGAATTGGCATCGCCGGTTGTAAAACATCGACACGTATACATTTCGCTTTATGCACGTGTTAGATGGTCTGCCACACTCATTGCTGGACCGCGAGCGATGGCGACGGCGTCAAGAGGCCTTCATTCAGCAGTGGATTGACCATGTCTGCTATTAATGGCGAAGGTGGCTCGTGGTAACAGTGACGCACGTGACGTTTGCTTGCCACAAATAAACCACAGTACCTCACTGATCTCGTCAAGGAGCGTAAACCATCAAGCGAACTCCGGTCATCCTCGCAAGGGCTCTTGGCTAGCCATCGAACAAAGACGGGTCACTGCATCGCGCGCTTTCAGTCACATTTGCAAATGTGAAGTGTGACTTTGATCATTGCCTGTGCATCCATAGTTCAATGTTAATGTGCCATTTTATTGAGGGACTACTACTGACTGGTGTTATCTTGGTGTGCGCTGGGACTGCTTTGTTACCGTTTCTGCTGCGTTGCCCAATCTCGATAAATCGAACCTGAACAAATACAATAATTAATTGCGCTTAGTGACTTGCTTACCATTTTCCCGATTTTGCACTTCTATCCTGTTTTGTATTTTTGATGTTGGAGCTTGCTAACGCACCGCTACTGGCCATGTGTGAAAAAGAGCTCCATCGCTCATCGGATTTCTCCTGAAATCTACATAAAGATTCTGATTCTGGAATATTCTTCAGATGCGCTTCTGCGGCCGTCTGGAACGGTCTTCCTACCGATATTAGGATGCCACTGAAGCTATGCACTTTTAAATCAAGATTAGAAACCCATTTATGTTAGAACTACTTTTTGAATGTAGTTCGTTGTCCTTCCCTCGCACCTCCGATTAACACGGTTGGCTACGTACGGAGCGAAAGAAGTTCAACATATGTACACATTGTGATCCACCATTGCACATTGCTTTTGCATACCCACTCACGTGTAGGACAACGCATTATGGTAATTTACGTTGTGGGTGTCAAGGTCAGCATTGGATACGGCTTTCGTGAACTACGGATCTCTGGTATGGATATTGGTCTACTGTGTTGCAGCACACAGGTTACTCGTTTTAGGTGACGTTCAATGACTTATGAGATGCCTAGATCAGGGTTGCAGCCACACTGTGGGAGTTTGGGGTGTCCGATGTCTGTCTGACGAGTGCAATAGGAGTGGCGCAGTTGTTTCTCACTTCCCACATTGAGCTATGCAATCGTCGACCTTAGTATTGAGCACTTGTCCGCGGCTAACTTCAGTGGGAAATAATATCTGAACCGGTCCTTTTTCCACCACCTCCTCCACGCCCGGTCCAAACATCGTTATCGTCTCGCCCTGACCAGCGGGGTGAAGTATGGTCAAATAATATCCAGGACTGATATGGTAGAGGGAGATTTTTGTTGAACGTTGGGTTTACAAAGGGATTGTTAAAAGAGCAAAAACCTCTAAGGCAATAAACGCTTATTCATCAAATGGCAGAGGCTGGGAAATAACAATGATTTAATAATGGGAAATGTGAAAGCAAGGTTGTTATAGTTTGCCCGTGTTATATTTATTTATTTACTCACACACCAACACTTCTATTGTAATATCTGTCGTGTAGGAACTGACAGCCTTCAATTCCCCTGGAATTGCGTTCCAGGTAATTGTTCCTGTAATCGCGAATGGGCGCCGTTTGTGCATGGCCAGACAACATGTGCACAAGCCGCTGTGGAACCTTCACAGCATCAAAGGAATTTATGAAATATAAACTGCATCTTCCTTCATCCCACAGGGTGATCGATGCTGCCGTGGTCTAATGTTTAGCACACTGGACGTATAATACAGCGGTTCGTTCGATCTCCCTGTGCGGAAGAGTTGCGTTATATAGGAAGATAATGAGAGTTCAGTACCAATAACCGCTCCAAGGATTTGTATGTACATGTGTTGAACTTCTTTAGCACCGAACGTAGCCAACCGTGCTGAAGAGTTTTGCAAACTCCCAGTGCAATGTACGTGTTTAGGAGGTGCACGCTCAAACTGGAGTCATGACTTTGTACATGTTTTGACAATGGTGAGGTCTTCAGTGGTGTTAACATTGCACTGGAAAAAAGGTCAATTGAACCCAAGATGAGAATTGCATTCAGACAGAATGCAAGGGTGGAGAGTGAGGCTGGGTTGATGACGGCAGAGAGCTGGACATCACAAGCGTAGACATTAAAACCGTCATTGATTTTACCAAGCATGAGGATTACGTATATATGTTGAACTTCTTTCGCACTGTATGTAGCCAACCACGCTAATCGGAGGTGTGGGGTATATTGAGATATTGAGAAGAGCAAGGGCCCAACGATGCGACACCCACAGCACTTGGCTTTCTGAAAAGAAGACAACCCGTTTGTATGGGAACAAAAAAAGGAACGGTTTGAGGGGTAAAAGTGGAACCGGGGAGTGTGTCAGAAGACATCTTCATGCCGGCTTTGGAGGTGGAATGGTCTGTGCTGTCAAAGGCAACAGAATGAACTAGGATAACTATGAGTGAGAGGGATCCATGGTGCTTTATCACACGTAGGAGAGTGACGTATGGTGAAACCCTTTGACCAATAGCTTGTAGAAGCTTTCATCCACGAACGGAACCCACAAAAAGGACTGTGCATTCTAACCATCGTTTGCATCTCATTGAAGTCAGATTCCAATAAATCCTCGTTGATGCCTTTTCCCTACGGATGCAGGTCTTATGAATTTTTAATGTAGAGAAAGCGGGAAATCTAGGATTTAGCAAATAATTCGGGGAATTAATATAGATTTGGTGTGGAGGACCGAATGCCGATGTGAGATGAAGCTGCATTGGAGGCGGGGTGAGATGGTCACCCTTCAATTTGAACTCATCTCTATGCTACAGTTGCAATCAGCAAAATTCTCAAACTGTTTGCATGACCCTGTACCTCCGCTGAACACAGTACGGTGCAAAATAATTTCAACATACGTATACATATTTCCGTTTTGTAAATTAAGAGAAATTAGTAGTCTGGTTGTAAAAGCCTTATGTTACGATTCAATGTTTATGCAGATATTAGTGTTCTCAATTATACACCGCACAGACTAAATGCCCTAAAATAACTAATTATCGTGCCGGTTTATTTATAATGCATTTCAATCGTAATGCTGTTGCTAATGTGCAGGGTCATACATTATACTAATTGTATGTTCATGTTGTTAAAGACACGATGCGACGTTTATAAACATAATCCTTCATAATGTATTCTTTAATAAATATCCTAGCATGGTCCATTGCATAGCATTCTATATTTTTATCGGAATAACTTATTTTTGGTATTAAATGTATGCGTGATTTGCTTATAACGCGATGCATATAATTTAATTGCTTTATATTTGCAGTAATTAGACAGGCAATTTAATTAAGCTGAATTTGCATTGATTGTTAACAAGTGTTCATTGATATATTTTTTTTAGCTGAACAAAATTAGACTTGACAGCCAGAAGGCTGCATTAAATTTCTGTGTAATATAAAATATCGCTCGACAATAGAGAATACCTGAATCTGTGACTACATTCTTTTGGTATTCTACGACTATAAATATACATTTCTTGATTATTAGAAACATTCAAAAACCTACATTTTCCATCAAAGGCGTAATTAACGCGTACGGTTTGAACTACATCACATCCGCTGACACAATCAGAATTGGAATCTCGTTTATTTCTGTCACATTTGACCATACCCCCTCCTCTCGTGCCCCCACACTTCTGTAAATCAATAACTCCTTATTTATTTATTTATATGTAGCGCGCTTCACATAATTAACGGTGCGGCTGACACGACTTAAAATGTACCCCGAATGACTTACACTTAGAATAAATAAAATTAGGTTCAAATAACAAAGCAAATGTACCCAAAGCAATATAATGACAACTAATAATAGTCGATA